CCATGGCTCACAGGCCCAGCCGCTCCACGACATATGGGATCCTCCCAGACCGGGGCACGAACCTGTGTCCCCTGCATTGGCAAGCGGACTCTCAACCACTGCACCACCAGGGAAGCCCTGTTTGTTTGTTTTTAGATTCCACATATAAGTGAGAACATACAGCAGTTGTCTTTATCTGATTATTTCACTTAGCATAATGCCCTCAAGGATGAATGAATAAAGAAAATGTGGTATATATCTATAATGGAATATTATTCAGCCATGAAAAAGAAGGAAACTCTGCTATTTGCAACAACATGGTTGGATCTTGAGGGCCATCTATGTATCTTATGCCTAATTTTTTGTCTCAGTCTAAACCTCCTCTGAGCTCCAGATTCAGATATCTGACTGCTTTCATCTCCACTTGACATCTCCACTTGGTCATCCAGTTGGCATCTCAAACTTAAAGTGTTCAATGTGAACTGATTTCTCTCCCAATCCTGCACCTCCTGTAGTCTTTACTGCCTGAGTTAAGGGTACCGCCATTTACCCAGCTGCCTAGGCAAAAAAACCTTGGAGTCATCTTGGATACCTCCCATTCTGTCACATTCTACATTCAAGACATCAACGGATCCTGTCTGGTTTATCTTCAAAACATATTCAGAATCTAACCACTTCTTGCCACCTCCACTGCTATCACCCGGGTCCAAGCCAGCATCATCTCTTGCCTGGATTACTGCAAAGGCCTCCTAATTGAGCCTCATGCTTGCATCCCTTGTGGAGGGTTCTCCACACAACAGCCAGAGTCAGACTTTCACTCTTTGCTCAGACATTTCCAATGCTTCCCATCTCATTCAGTCCTTTCACTGCCTCCAAGACCCTGCTCCAAGGTCTATGTTACCTCTGACCAAACATCCAACTGTTCACCCTGGCCATTGTGTTCTAGCCCAGTGGCCTCCTTGCTTTTCTTCTGACACATCACACTTCCACCTCAGGATATTTGCACCTGCTGTTCTGACTGCATGGCTCTTGCTCCCCTCCAGTTTCTGCTCAGTGAGTCCTTCCCTTAACATTTGGGTAATATCAGCCCTTCTGTGTTGGTTTTAAAATACCTCCAGGGGACATCCCTGGTGGCGCAGTGGTTAAGACTCCAAGCTCCCAATGCAGGGGGCCCAGGTTCGATGCCTGGTCAGGGAACTAGATCCCACATGCATGCTGCAACTAAGAGTTCACATGCCGCAACTAAGGAGCCAGTGAGCCGCAACTAAGGAGCCCACCTGCTGCAACTAAGATCCAGCACAACCAAATAAATAAATAAATAAATAAAATGAAATACCTCCATATAATTTTTGATACTCTTCCCTTTAAGAAGTGAAGCCTAATTCCCTTCCCCTTGAATGCAGGCTGGACTTAATCATGTACTTTTAACAACTAATATATGCCAGAAGTGACGGTGCGCAACTTCTAAAACTAGGCCATGAAAAGCACTCTTCCCTCTTTAGTCACTCTCTCCGGGGGAAACCAACTGCCATGTTGGGAGGACTCTCTGGTATGAGGTCCTCTCCCATGGAGAGGCCTACCTAGGGAGAACAGCCTCCTGCCAACAGAGCATGTGAGCAAAGTGGATCTTCCAGTCCCAGTCAAATCTTCAGATGACTGCAGCCCTAGCCAACATTTTTACTACAACCTCATGAAAGACAGCACCACTCAGCTAAGCCACTCTCGAATTCCCTATCCACAGAATTGTGAAAGCAGATGTTTTTTCAAGCTGCTAAGTTTGAGTGTAATTTGTTGCACAGCAATAGGTAACTAATGGCACCCTTCCCTTTCTATTCCCCCCAACCCAAATTTATTTTTCTACATTTTACTTATCACCATGTGACACAATATACATTTCCCCCACTGGAATTATGCCATTATAATAAGGACTTTGTTTTATTTACTCCTGTGTCCAACAGTGCCTTGCATAAAGTAAGTGCTCAGTAAGTATGTGTTGGATTAATGGATGTCTAGGTCAGTCTGTCTGTCTCTGTGAGGTGTAGGATCAGAGGGGGCTATGTGTGGGTATGAGACAGCCTTTCCTCTTCACAGATGGAGAGAGAGAAACCAGGTTCCAATCAGGTTATTCCTTCCCCTTTGCCCTTCCCAGTTGTACCCTCCTGGCTCAGACCCCAAAGGTGAATTTACTATGCTTGATTGATCCTTTTCTTTTGGGAGTAGCGTCCAAGTCCCTTGCCCCTCTCCACCCCCTCCAAAGCAATCTCCAAACCCTCAGAACTGGAATTTCCCCAAGCCAGTTCCTACCTTTCCAACAGGAATCTTACCTTCGTCTCTCTCCAGGCACTTTCTCTCTTCTGAGCAGCCCTTCTGTGTTGGTTTTTAAGCTTCCTCTTCTAAGGAAGCTGGTGGGGGGGGGGCACTGGGGAGGCAAGCTGAGCACAGGAGTTGCCTTGGAGAGGGATGGCAGCGGAGGGGGCTGGACTCTGCCCCAGGAGAACTTATACCACGCCAAGCTATGGGGGCAGGGGCATTGGATCTGAAGGTGGTTGGATCACCAATGCCTCTTGGTGGAAGTGGGATCTGACTGGCTGTCAGACCCAAAATCTGAGCGGGTGGGCACTGGAGTGTGAGCAGGACTGAGCCTCAGTGTGGCTGGCCAGAGATGGGCCACAGAGAGTGTGGACTTAGTGCCACAGTGGGAGCTGGGCTGGGGACAAGGGTGGAGGCTGGAGACAGTGAGAGCAGAGGGCTGTCATCCACCACAAGATCCTGGTGAGAAGAGCTGGTGGTCCAGACCAGGGCGAGCTGGGTCTGAGAGGAGCAGACTCACTGGGAGAGGGTTGGGGAGGAGGCAAAAGTTACCCCTGAATTTCTGCCCCCTAGAGGAATCTTGGCCTTGAGACCAGTGTGCCTCACTGGGTATGAATGAGGTCAGGTGGTACTCCCCGGTGCTGAGTTTGACACAGCAGAGTCTCACACCTATGCCAGGTATCACTCCTACAGAGGCGTGTTGTTCACTCACACACTTGGATCACCTCCCAGTGACTCTCAATGCTTTTAGTAGGTCAATTCCCTTCCGCACAGGAAGAAATTGGGGAATGGATGAGGGTGCTTAAGAGGAGTGGGGTCCAGGGCTGCTAAGGAACAGCATCTCAGCATCTGGAGGATAACTGGGAGTAGGGTGGGCCTGGAGCAGTTGGCTAAAGGTGTCTGGAGCTAGAGATTGGGGAGTCATGCAAACATAGGTGGAGGATGTATGTGAAGATGGGCAAAATGCTGATCACTATTGAAATTCTGAGGATTGCCAGAGGTTCATTATATTATTCACTCTTCTTGGTATATGTTTGAAATTTTCCATAATAGAACGTCAAAAGAGCTAAAAGCCGTGTGGCTTTGTACCTGCAGGTGGTATGTGTGCCCTGCTGCTGGTGTGGAATGAGCTCAGAGACCTCTGAGTGTGTGGGTGCAGAAGTGAGTTCACCATCATGCGCACGTATTGTGCAAACTGCAGCGTGCGTGCAGTTGGGGACAGCACCTGGGCAGGACAGGGGAGAAGTTTCTGTTCTGCCCAGGCCCTCCAGTCTCACCCCAGCACCCCGCAGAGTGAGTCCCCTCAGATCACAGCCTGTCCAGGCCTTTGGCGCTGTAGTATTTATGTAACCAAGTATGTGAGATAGGGGGCTGTGTACCTTGAACTTGTGACAGGGTGTGTTGGTGTGTGAACACAAGTGTTTGTATGTGGATGCCGGGCACTGAGTACGGGTGTGGGGACCCCCCGCCCCCGCACTTGTGAGGCTGGGAGGGGCCCTGGTCCGGAGTTCGGTGGTGGTGGACTCCTCACTCTCCTTTGCACGATTCCCAGCAGCACTCCAGCGCCCTCTCCCCCCACCCCGAATCTGGCTGTATGGAGGGTGGGAGACACCTGTTGGGGGGCTGGAAGCGGCAGAGCCCACCGGGGCCTCTCCCCCTGCGCCCCCGCCCGCCCTGCCCCTCGTGGGTCCCGCCCCCGGGGCCGCAGCCGGCAGAGCAGCGAGTGAGCGCCCCGCGGCCGGAGGAGCGCGCGGCTGCAGGAGCTCACGGCAGGGGCCCCGCACAGAGAACCGAGCTGAGACAGGGGCCGCCCGACAGGCGGGCTGAGCGGAGGGAGCGCCGTGGAGACGCCGGGGACAGCGGGCCGCGCCAGGCTGGTGAGTGTGGCCGTGGGGCGGGGATACCCCCGGCATCCTCTGTTCCCGTTCCTTCTCGGTTCTAGTCCTCTGCGTCTCTGCCCCGTCTCTTTTCCCAGTCTCTGTCCCTCTCTATTTACTGTCTCGCCCTGTCTCTATTTCTAATCTCTTTCTTCTGTCTCTGTCTCCTGCTGCGTCGGTCTTTGCCTGATCTCTCTCAAGCCCGGCCTCAGTATTTGTCTCCCTCTGCCTCTGTCAGTCTCCCTGGACTGCTTGTCACTCAGGTCTTTGATATTTATCTCTTGCTCCTCTATCTCTCTTACCTTCCCAGTCTCTCTACCGGATATCTCTATCAATCTCGTCTCTCCCCATCTCTGTCTCTCCATTCTTGTCTCTGTCTGATATTTCTGTCACCCTCCACCTTGGTCCCTCTCAGTCTCTTGTCTCTCGCCATCTCTCATTTCTATCCCCATATCTCCCTGTCATTGTCTCTCTCCCTCTCTGTTGGATCTCTCTCTCCTCCATCTCTCTCTGTTTCTTGGTCCCTGTCACCCTCTTTGATCTGCTCAGTCTCTACCTGTCCTCGGTCGATGTCTGTTTCTGTCTCTGGGTCTGGTCTCTGTCTCTCCTGCTCTTTTTACCTCTCTGTCCACCTCTGAGAAAGCTGTCTTTCTATCTTTTTCCTTATGGCCCCCCTGCACTTCCCTGAATCCATAACCACCTCCCCTTGTGTTGGGGACTTTGGGGGAGCGGGTGCAACACGCATAATTCTCTCCCCCACAGGCAGCCCTTTCCTCAGGGCAGCGCCTGGTGCCAGCTGGCCCACCAGTGGGGGGACTGCGCCTGGAAGCTGTAATGGAGGCCCTGCAGAGACAGCAGGAAGCCCGACTGGCCCAGGGGGTGGGGCCTTTGGCCCCTCCACGCCCACCACCACCACCGCCGCAGCCTTCCTTTCCTGGATCCCGGACCCTGCAGGCCCCTGACGGGGGCTTGGGGGAGGTTGGACCTGAGGAAGAGGAGGATGCCCAAGAGGATGAGGAAGGAGAGGAAGCTGGCGCAGAAGAGGAGGCAGCCGAGGAGAGCCACTCAGGGACCCGGGGCACCAGCTCACCTTCCAGCCAGCCCCCTGGACCTCATCCCCATGAGTGGACCTATGAGGAGCAGTTCAAGCAGGTAGGACCCTCTCAGTGTCGAGCCCTCCCCCTTCCTACTCTCTGGGCAAAAGCAGAGCAAGGTGATCAGTAGCCGCCCCCGCCGCCACACACACACTGCGCTCTGCAGGATGGAAAGACAGAGACATAGAGACCTGGAGAGAGACAGTGGGAAGACTGAAGGCTAGATGGGGACTGGGAGGGAGAGACAGACATGCTGAGACATGGAAAGAAGTGCGTAGGCACACACCGTGAGGTGCAGGAGACGCCCAGAAACATGGAGGCTGACAGACTGGAGGCTCTTGGTGAAGCTGGAAGGGAAAGTGGGAGGGGTGCAGGAGCCTTCAAGAATTCTGAGGGAGGGGGATCTGGGGATCCCAGTGCCAGCACTACCATACCTTCTCACACATCAAGTCACAAGGTCATATTCCAGTGACCAGTGGGGGTGTCCTGGGCTGTCTACTTCTGTCTTGGAAGTGGAATGGAGGTTGCCGCTCCTTTGGCAAGCTGATACCCACCTCATCTCTTCCTTGTCACATTCTCCCCACCCATGTCCTCTCCCCAGCCTGAGTTCTATGGGTGACAGTTCCCAGCCTGTGATGGCCACTACAGCCGCAGTGTGACTAAAAGGCTCCTGTGCAGCTGTTAATGATAAGATGTTAATTCACAGGGCCTTAATTTGAGGTTCTTCATCCCTGCGGAACCCATCTGGATGTTATTCGAAGGCACTACTCTAGGCTGTCATTAAGAAGATGTTATGCAGGGCTGAGATTCTAGGTGTGCTATTCTGGTGGTGTTACTCGTAGGGTGTTGGTTTTGGGTATTTTCCAGAAGTGTTAATCTATGCTTAGACTCTGTGGTGTTAGTGTAAAACTTATAGTGTTACTCGGGGCTCTGTTACTCTGGAGATGTGACTCTAGCGACTCTTTCTCCTGGGTGTAATTCTGGGGATTATTACTTGGAGACTCTGTGTGTTTTTTGTGGGTATCCATTTAAGACGCAGGGCTCAGTTCTTGTGGGAGTGTAGATCTAAAGGTGCATCTTTGGGGTTTGTTACTCATGGGTGTTTTTTTGCTCTGAGAGTTCTTATTGGCGGGTGGAATGTTACCTATGGGTGTTACGCAGGGACTGTCACTCTGGGTAAAAGACTGTTACTTTAGGGGTCCCTCCTGGGGTGTATTTGAGAGCTGATACTGCAAGTAGAGCTCCAGGTGACTGAGAATAGGTGGGATAACCCCTGGACCTTTCAAGTCCTGACCCTACAGATCCTGGGTGGTTCAGGGCCATTGCCTCTGTGGCAGCTTCTGTAATGCAGGAAGCTGTTCCTGGAAGATATGTGGGCTGAGGGCCCAAGGTTTCCATCCAGGAGCTTTTCTGAGCATCCACCCTGCCTGAGGGATGGGTTAGAGGCATCTCTGCCCCTCATCCCCACCCCTGGCACACAAACATGTGAACAGCAAGAAGCCCTTGCAGGTATGAATGAGTGAATGAGTGGCTCAGATATATCTGTCGGTTTCCTCAATGTGGAACACAACGCCAGCCTGACTTCCTCCCAAGGGCTCTGGAAGGCAGGCTAAGCCTCCGTAGCTTTCTCTCTTCCCCTACTCCCCAGATGGGTGGTTTGAGCTGCCCAGGGCACCACTGGCCAGTAGAGGGGTCTCTGTGTGTATCAGGAAAAAAGTGCCCACACCTGCCTCCAGGGGAGAGTACCCAATGTTCTCTCAGGAAGTCTACATTTCAGAACTTACTTACCCCTTCAGCTGGGGACCCTTAATCCGGGGGTTGGAGTCCAAAGGGTCCCGGGGTCGGGAGGGGCTGGGTAGCAGAGCTGGAAAATGACCTCAGTTTTTCCCCAGCTGTACGAGCTCGATGCAGACCCCAAGAGGAAAGAATTTCTGGATGACCTGTTTAGCTTCATGCAGAAGAGGGGTGAGTGGGTTGATGTAAGGGAAGGACCCCCACTTACCAGGTTTGAGGAAGGGAAACCCCAGGGTTTAGTCCTCAGTTTGGGTCCTCTTTGCAGAGGCCTGGGCTTGGCAGCATGTATCCTTTGGGCCCTCAATAGCGTCTTTAATCTCTGACCCTGCCCCCCTTCTCCACCCAGGGATTAATTAGTGGCCAGCCCACTGGCAGGTTAATGAGTGTGGGATCAATTGGGAGGGTGGGAGGGGGAACTGGTAGGAGGCTGGCCTGGGGTGGGAGTTCCCAGAATTGGGGGACTGGGATGGGAATGCCTTGGTCCTCTTCCCTGCTGCTTCCTCCAGCCTGTCTCTCCTCAGTTTCCCCTTGCTTCAGGCAGGAAACACCCAAGGTGTTCTGCATCAGGAAGGACTGGAATTAGACTGAAGGGAGGACTTCTCAAGGGGTAGGCAGGGGCTGTGGAGGAGAAGGAATTCCTTTCCAGGAATCTCAGAGCCAGAAGTGAATGCAAGAAGGGTCCAGGAGGGGATCAGGCTGGGCGGCAGTCCATCACTTAGGCTTCTCCCCAGATTCATGGGTCCGAAGACTGACTCATTATCTCGCTCTACAAAGCTAATTAACTCACTCCACGAGTGCGGCCTGATAAGCTGCTAATTAACTGGCTGCACTGCCCCCCTCCCTTAGTGCAGCTGCTGGCCAAAGTCCCTCAGGCCCCCACCCCAGGCCCAGCACCCCTTTCAGGTCCCTTCCTAACCAGGAACCCTCCGTGGGGCTCCAGGTCCTTTGGCTCCCCAGGAAGGCCCGGTCATTCTGGTCCCAACGTCCCCTCCCTGCCCCTTCCTCCTGGTCTCCCCTCCACTGGGGGGTGGGCTAGGGTGGTCTCAGCAGATCCTAGCGCCCCCTTCCTCCCAGCTCTGCCTCCCTCAGGTCCCTGTCTTCCTCTGCTCCCTGTGCGGGGGGAGGGGATCCCGCGGGACCGATAATTTCCCCCCATTAATCAGGCCGCAGCTAATTGTTCGGGTCCAAAGGCGGCAGCGGAAGGGGACGGGATCGGTAAGGAATTAACTGGGGCCTATCGCTCAGCGCAGACAGGCCCCTTTGTCAGGACTGGCCGGCGGGGGCGGCGGGGACTGCGGAGTCGGCGAGCCGAGGCGGGGGGTGGTT